GGCCTCTCAAAGTAGGGTAGGATGTTGGTTAAAAGTTGGAGGGCTTGGCCTGAAATAGACCAGATCTGGGTTGTCATTTTGAATTCATCACTGACTACCTGGGTTTAAATTCTGGAACACAGTGTATTAACTGTATGACCTTCAGCAAAGTGTCCTCTTCTCTGAGTCTTAAATCCCTAATCTGTAAAATGGGGGTAGAATCCTTACCTCCTGGTAGTATAGCAGGGCTCTAAAGCTCCCCTCACCATGCCCAGCACATTGCAAGTATAACATTCATCCATTAAGCAAAAGTTGTTGAAGTCCTACTATATGTCCATTGTTGATGAATCTATCGGTGAACAGAGAAGTTAGATATATCCCTACCTTCAAGGAGCTTACCTTCTGTTGAGAGGAAATAGACATGAAATAAACAAACAAAACTATAAGTGAGATCATATGGAACATGGTGAAAATAGAGAAAAATAAAGCAGAGAAGGGGAGCGGACAGTGGCAGAGACACTGGAAGGGATGTTGCTGTTCTCTTCTCTCAAGAGGCATCCTTTTCCTTGGGTTTGTTTGTTTTTTCTTCTAGCAGTAGTTGAATATTCCTCCCTCAACTCCAATTCTTTCATATAGTAGTGCCCAGTGGTACTGATGGCTGATAGGGGTATAGCTCACAGTGTGTGGTCAGCCCTGTTGTGAACACCTGCCCATGGTCCAGGCACTGTCCATGAACCAGCACTGTCCATGAACCAGATTCCTTTGGGAGTCTTCCTTTCAATATCCAACCCCTTTCTGAGTGGAATAAGAAAAGACAAAATGTTTGGTTTAATCCAGCCTAACTAAAGGTAGAAATCAAAAGTTTGATTAGTCAAAGATCAACCAGTAGTCCTAAAACTGAGCAAATACGTTCTTTCTCTTTAGCTAGATATAAATTTCTAGAAGATGGGAGTTGAATCCCGTCTCATTGAAACCTCACAATACATGTCTTGCATGTAAACAACAGGTGCAGCCCCGTTACTAGAAAGAGCTCAGGCTTTGGAACCAAACAGATCTGGTTTTGAAAACTCCCTAGGCAAGTACCTTAGCCTCCCTCAGCCTCAGTTCCTCATCAGTAAAATGGAACTAAATCTCTAACCTTGCAGGATGGTTATAAGACCAGAAAGAGCAAGTCAGAAGTGTTAAGCACAGTTAGGCCCGTAACATCCCCCATGGTACCTCTACTACCTTGAGCCACCAGCAGTTATTAAGGAAACACAAACAGGGATTTCTTTTTTCTTTTTTTTTTTTTTTGAGTTGGAGTCTCACTCTGTCGCCCAGACTGGAGTGCAGTGGCCGCTCCCGGCCACCGCAGCCTTGACCTGCTGGGCACCGGCGATCCTTCCGCCTCAGCCTTCCAAGTAGCCGGAACTACAGGCATGCACTACCATGCCCAGCTGATTTTTTGATTTATGTAGAGATGAGGTCTCGCTGCCCAGGCGGGTCTCGCACCCGCGGGCTCAGGCAATCCACTCTCCTCAGCCTCCCAAAGACACGGGATTACAGGCTGAGCCACCGAGCCCGGCTTCAAACAGGAATTTCTTAATGATAGAACTCACATCATATAGTTTACCACTCTTTTTTCTCATGCTGCAACAGAAGAAAATCTCCAGCTTTCTGGGAAATATTTCAGTAAATACATAAAAATATGCTCAATTTTATATTTCAAAACATGAAACTGAAATTAAGGTATAGTTTTACCTTATCAATCAGATTGATAATAATACCTTATTGATGAGAGTATTATTAAAATACAATATCATATGCCTATCTGAGGAATATAAAGTTGAACAACCTGTTGAAGGTCAATTTGGACAGTACATATCAAACATTAAAATGTTAATACTTGGCCAGCCCGGTGGCTCAAGCCTGTAATCCCAGCACTTTGAGGGACTGAGGCTAGAGGATTGCCTGCATCCATGGGTTCGAGACCAGCCTGGGTAACCTTGTCTCTACAATAAATCAAAAAAATTAGCCGGGCACGGTGGCCCACGCCTGTAGTTCCAGCTACTTGGAAGATTGAGGCAGAAGGATCATCTGAGCTCAGCAGGTCGAGGCTGCGGTGGCCGTGAGCGTGCCATTGCATTCCAGCCTGGGCAACAGAGTGAGGCTTCAATTCAAAAAAAAAAAAAAGAAGAACTAGAACAAACTTAACAGTGGTTACCTTTAGAATAAGCTTGGGGAAATGAGGGGATTTGTACTTAATTTTTTACACTTTTGTAATATATGAAAATTTAAAGTTAGCACAAATTACTTTCAAACTGATGGGGTAGTTTGAAGTTGGTCAAGGACTGAAAATGTAATGAGTGGGCAGTTTATTTTCTCAAGTGAAAGTGGAAACTGTTTCATTTTGAATTTTCTTTTTTTATGTTTTCCTTTCTTTTTGTGCTTTAATTCTGACCCTGGCTGGCATCAGAACCACAAACTGAGTTGAGGGAGTTACTTGATGACTCACCACGCTTGTTTTGACCTTTTAGAGCTTGTGGCTAATTGATTCTGAGGGCGGGGATCAGCATGCATTTAGTTACTGGTTACTGTTTACAAGGGACTGTTTTTAAGAGATCACAAGGATTTGCAAGATGCCATTAGGGAACTGTGTGCAAGTACTTTCTTGATCTCCTGCATAGGGCTGATCCAGCTATCATGAACTTGTTAATGAACCCAGGAACTCACCAGTGCCTGTGCCAGCCTGAGCGGCTTGTGTTGCTACTTGCAAACAGAGCTAATTTTCTGAGTCCAGAAGGTTGTGGTAATACCCCGAAGCTCCTTGGAAGTTTATTTTTACATATTTTATAAGTCATAACAATCTGTAAAGTAGCACAGGAACTACCTATAATGTCATCATGAAAAAAAAAAACAAAAGAATTTTGTGGTGCTCCCTTTCTGTCTTTGCTCATGTGTACTTTTTGCATAACTGTAGTGTTCATATATAGATTTTTAATCCTGCTTTTATTTTATTTATTTATTTTTGAATTGGAGTCTCACTCCATTGCCTAGGCTGGAGTGCAGTGGCATACTCACTACCACCACAACCTTGCCTGCTGGGCTCAGGTGAGCCTTCTATTTCAGCCTTCCAAGTATCTGGAACTATGGGTGTGCACCACCATACCCAGCTAATTTTTTGATTTATTGTAGAGACAAGGTCTTGCCAAGGGGCCCAGGCTGGTCTTGAACCCCTGGTTTCAGGCAGTCCTCTTGCCTCGGCCTCCCAAAGTGCTGGGATTATAGGCTTGAGCCACCGCACCTGGCCCAGAATTATCTTAATGACTAGAAAATATTCCATCCAGCAGGTAATTATAATTTATTTAACAAAGCCCTTAGGTTTAATAGTTGTTTTAGAAATATTCTTTACCTTCTGGAATTTTATTGTTTATTCTCAAAATAATTGGGAGCTACCTTAGAATGTCTTTGTGAAGACAGCTTGCATGTCACATACAAAATCAGTTCTGCCCTCAGGAAGTTTATAGTTAAGAAAATGTATTCATTGCTTTGTCAGAGGTATGTCCAAATTGCTTGGGAGAGGAGGATGGGAGGACGTTGGTGAATTTGAATTATATCCTGAGGACAGTTAGGAGTTATCCAGTTATGAAATGAGGGAAACATATTCAGGAAGAGAAGATTGCTTGAAGGAAGCACAGAGGGATGGCAAAGCAGGCCTCATTTAGGGAATAGCAGATACTCTAGTATGGTTGGAGATTAGGGGCTCATGGCAGTGAGGTAGGATGTGATCCTAGATAATGGAGACTTTTGTCAGATTACAAGAGACCTTTTGTGCCAAGCTGAGGAGTTGGAACTTGACACTGAAGACCATAGGGAGCCTTGGCAGGGAGTAGTATCTGTTCAATAAGAATGTGGTTTTTGAGCACAGCAACAGCTCATTTCTTTGGCAGTTTCCAATAGATGTGATGAAATCTTCAAGGATAAAGACTGAAAATGCTACACTCTGCTTTCTTCCTGATCATGTGTATCTGTCATGAGAAAGCACTGTGATAGCATGTTTCAGTCTCGAGGGTAGACTTTGGGTGGCTAGCCTACCCCAAGGTCTACTGGGGCATCTTTGAAAAATATATAAATACCTCAGAGACAGGAATTATTTACTGTCAAGATAATAGCTAGTATATTAGTTGGGACTTTTCAAGTTGACAGAAACCCAACTGAGATAACAGAAAGGGGAATGTATCGGCCATGTAACTAACATGTCTAAAGGTGGTTCTTTCTAGCTTCAGGCACAGTGGGATCCAAGGGTTCAAACAGTATTGGCAAAGCTTGCTCCCTTCCTCCCTCCATCAGTCACTCCATCCTTCATTCTGTGTGTCCCTTTATTCCCTCCTGTCGCAGACAGATTTTTGTGTGTGAGCAAGGAGAGTTGCTTTTGGAAGCTCCTGCTTATGTTATCTTCTTGAATGCACATTCCCAAAGGAATAAAGACTCTTACCCTCTTTCTCCAAATAGCACATTTTAGGGAATCACAAAGCCATCCCTGAATAAGGATGGTGGAATATTCTATTGGTCGGGTCTAGGGGATTCCACCCAAACTATAAGAAATGGGATACTCAAAGATAGTAGGATTCTGTTCTTAGAAGGAGGAGGAGAGTAGGAGTACTGGCCAGATGTTTAAAAAATAAATAAGTAAAAAGTCATCCGCTACTGTTATCTGAAGTCAGCCCAAAAAAAAGTTCCTGTCACTTATCCAGGAACTGCCTTCATGCCCGAGTTGACCTGATATGTGCTTGCACTATTGCACACTTGGTGTCCAGGTTACACAGAACGGATACTCCCAGCACGTGTGGAAAAGCGGCCCCCTACCCAATTTCCCTTAGCACGTAGACTCAAGACAGTGTTGTACTTCCCAAAGGCCTTGTGGCCACGTCCTCTTTTTCTTTTGAATATCTGATTTATGTTCTGTCAGTGACAGGAAGCTGCTCAAAGGATCCACCCAGTCCTGCCGCTGCCCCCTTGATAGTGTTTTTCTCGTTGTTTAGCGCTCCATTAGCTTCCGCAGCGAGAGCCGCCCTGACATCCTTGGCCCCCGACCCTGGTCCAGAAATGCCGCCCCCTCGAGCACGAAGCGGAGAGACAGCAAGCTCTGGAGTGAGACCTTCGACGTGTGTGTCAATCAGATGCTTACATCCAAGGAAATCAAACGTCAGGAGGTAGGCTTGGGGCCCATGGAATTGGCTGAGTGCCTGGAACAAAGGTGCACTGCAGGCATGAGCCATGCTAGGGTCTGTGCCATGGTCTACAAATCAGTTCTTCATTGCACTTGTAGAAGGAGAACTATCGGGGGGCATCTGACCTTGTGAAAGGAACTGAGAAACCACCCAGCTGGGTGGGTGTGTTCCCCACTTTAAAAAGAAACTGATGTGAATTTACAAGAAGATGAAACCAATTGTCTATTTAGGATTCTGAAACTCAAGTAACCATTTTAGTTACATCTTGATAGCAACCTCTAGAATATTTTTAAATGTTCATTTTATGGAAACTTGATTCAGCTTTGTGGAAAACTTTTCTATGGAGTGCAGTTAATTTCATTCCCTGTGGGCTTTCTATGTCAATCGCCGACATAGCTATGATAATATTACCCTTTACAGAAGTTGTATCTTGGGGCCTGTGCCAGGCTGTGCTGAGCACTTCATGTGTGCCTCATCTGGTGAGATCCCTGGGGTCGTGCCTCATCCTGCTTTGTCTGCTAATTTACCAGGCAACCCCAGGGTGGAGGATGCCCCCGTAGCCTGCTCATAATCTTCCCTATAGCCTGAAAGAAACGCAGTAGTCCCTGAACTATTATCACAAACTTGTCCTTTCATAATGTAATGTTTGCCAACAGTTTTGGTTTCCAGATGAGAGTGAAAGAATGTTCTGTGCATCATAGCTTTTTATATTCTAATGGCTTAATAGAAACAAATTAGAAACGGGCCATTTACATATTCTTCCACACAGCTGGCTCCTATAATGTTATTTATTTTACCTTGTGGGCTGAGAAGTAATTTAGAATGAATTAACTTCGTCAGATTTTATTTAGAGTGATAAAATATTGACTACTTCTTACAAGCTCAGCCTCAATACAGTGGATGATAAGAATAAAGCTTTCTTCTGAGATTCACCGTCTGTTGAGTAGAAGAAAGGCAAAGTGTGATAGCCCAGTTAATAGTACTGCCACATCCATTACTTACTGAAAACAGTCCTGAATCACTTCTTCTGATGGCCACTCACAACAAAGATGTCAAATCCATGGCTCAGAGTGTAATTCTTTTACCTAAAATAGTTCCCTCTTGTTCAGCTGCATCAAAGTTCTGTAGCATGAAAGACGACTTGTTAGATTGGAAAAGTGTGGAACCTCTTTCTTCCACAAACAGAGAAGAAGCCCATCACACAGAAGTTTTGCATTATCTTTTCTTTGCAGGTTTTAGTCAGTAGATTCACTTGCTTCAGGTTATTTTAACTTTTTGTGAACACTTTAAAAATACTTAAATATGTAAATTTGGGCCTTTGAGTGCTAGAGCCAGCACTGTTTGAATTTGATCTTATAAAGGAAGGGAGAGTTCAATGAATATGTTTTATCTTTCCTTGCAGGCAATTTTTGAGCTTTCCCAAGGCGAAGAAGACTTGATAGAGGACTTGAAATTAGCAAAAAAGGTAAATTTAAGTTCAGCAGTCTGAGTCACCCCTTATTTTTTCCTGTGAGTAGTTTCACAGTCTTAAGATGGTGCTTTACCAGTACTGTCTTTATGTCTGAAGTTGTCAGAAATTGAGAAGAACCTGCTACCACAAACCAAGCAGTGGGGGAAATGCCTCAAAACAAGAAAGCAGTCCCACTCTCTGGACCGGACACCTTCAGGGGTTCCATCTACATGTCTCTAGTGTACCCCCAAAGAATACTTCTGAATAATCAGAAAGTGTCCATGAATGCCTGACTTTATATATATTTTATTGTCCTAGAAGTGTCCCATGCAGGCCTTCTTTGTCCTTGGAGAGACTATAGACATGTCCAAAACTCAAACTATGTGACTTAGAAATAAAGTCATTTGAATCTCAAAAGTGGATAAAGCGGTGAAGTGAGTCAGTTGCATATAATTAATGTGAGTTAGGGTCTTTTGTATGGAAACTTATTTTTAAATCAACATTGTGTGTGGGGAGGGGAAGAACAGCAAGTCTTATAGACTGTATATTCTTGACAATAAACCTCAAAAACCTTTCCCTTTCAGTGACCCCACCATGACTTGAAGGCTAAAATTCAGGCTCCATCTGGTATTTACTGCCTCCTCAAAGAATCACAGGGTTGGGAGGATGCCCCCCTTCTCTTAAAAGCTTTAGTCAACTTTCTGCTAGTATGAAGTCCCAGCTCTTCCCTGAGAGATGGCCCTCCAAGCTTTGCTTGCACATAGCCAAGATACTGAGTTTTAGGCAGGGCTAGAGGAGGAGGAGACCCGAGAGGACAAAGAAGGCATTTAATTCTGGAAATTATTGTGCTGATCATATGTCCTACTCCCCTTCCTGCATCAAGATTTGCCAAGCACAACACCTTCAGATGTTTCCCTGCCATCCTTATGCTCATGGTGGTCCTCCCTTCCCAGAAGCCTTTCTTTTTCCTTTCAACCATTCAAATTCACCCATCCTCCAGGAACTAACTCATCTTGGCTCAGTCTTCTACAACATTCATTCCCTCTTTTTCTGTGCCAAGCAGCTCATCTTCAGAATTTCTCTTGTCTACTCCATCTTTAATTCTCTGACCCTCTAGAGCAGTTATGATTTGATCATTTTTGCTGTCATGTGACATGTTCTGTTTTTAATATTGAACTATTTTTTAAACATATATTTTGTTTTCTATTTGTTTTTCTTATCTTCCCAATTAGCTTTATTTAACTCCTTGAATGCAGGGACTGTGCCCTCTAAGTCTGAGTTCTATTGCAGTGCCCTGGGCATAGCTGTGTATTCTTGTTCTTTAATTGTCTTTAATAAGAGGTGATAGGATTGGCAGCTTTTGAAAAATCTTTTTTGGCTTATCAATAGCCACAGAAAGTTCAAGTCAGTGCTGGGTTCTCCTCTCCTCCAGCCACACCTGTCTACTCTTTCTGCAGCTTTACGAAAGAAGTTGTGGTTAGAGAGTCAAATTGTTATTGTATAAGGGCTTCTCAGGAGCCATTGATAGGAACAGTTTACTTCCTCTGATTTTAAATGTTTGCTTCCATCTCTTGTCCTTCTTGTACAGGCCTATCATGACCCCATGCTAAAACTCTCCATAATGACAGAACAGGAATTGAATCAAATTTTTGGAACACTGGATTCCTTGATTCCTCTTCACGAAGGTATAGTTTTGTTTCTAGGATGAGTAGTGACTTGTAGCCTTAATTGAGTTGTCTTATAACGAGTTACTGATTATGTAATACCTGAAACATGAATAACCCAGAAGCTACTTCCAGCCCTGTTCATATTTGAATGCCTAACAAAATAAACATTCTGTTTGTTTTTTGCCAGAGCTCCTTAGTCAGCTTCGAGATGTTCGGAAGCCTGATGGCTCGACTGAACATGTTGGTCCCATCCTCGTGGGCTGGGTAAGAAAAGTTCTCTGGTCTTGGTTGAAGATAAGTTTCAATAATTTAGATAGAGTTTTATTTTAGCTAGACTTTTTTATTGGCAAATATTGCACCATATCAGAAAAAAGTAAAATAGTAAATTTCTATAAATGTTATATTTAGGCTTTATCTCTTTAAAGCATGAAAACAATTTTTTTCTTATTACAAATCGACTGCATTTAAAAATAAGGCCTTTTTGCAATAAAATAAGTAAAGGTACACATGAAACTATTACTAGTTACACATCCAATAAAATAAAATGGTTAATATTTGATTCAGGACAATTGCTAATATGATTATTACCATTTCTAACCTAGTAAAAATTGATTGACATATCCCTATTCATCACCAAAAAAAGTTTTTCAAGATATTAAAAAAACTTATAATCAAAATGTAACTGTCTAAACAAGATATGTATATAACCCTAAGTAACTTTATAGGATAGCTGGGTATGTGCTGGCCTTCTTCCCAACAAAACCCAGTCCTTTTCCTAATTAAACAAAAAAAAAAAACTGTGACCTTTGATTAGGGGTCATAAATGTATGGTCCTGGGACTGAATTTGTCTTTTATTGGGTGTATAATGTTGCTATTTATTTGTTTAATTTACTTTAGACAAGGCATGCACTCTATTTTGCCACAGTCCCCACCACTCCTTATTTCTATACATTTCTGTTTCCTTCTGTGAGTACTTGAGTATTTCACCCCAACTCCAGGTGTTTTTCATTTGTTATGAAGCAGTTAATGAGAGTAGATTAATTCGATGACTTCTACCAGGCAAGATTAGATTTCTTATCCTTCTGATCCGTACAGTATACCAGAAAGATAGAAAGTGCCACAACACTAGTGTTAAAGATCATTTCATTTGGAGGATATCGTGCAGGTTATAAATCTTACTCTCATTTTGTGAGGTTCTCTTTGTCCAGTTATATTTATATTTTAACCTTTCTGAAAACTTCCAGTTCCCATGTCTTGATGCCATGTGGATGTGCAGAAAGTTTTAACATTGGTCTCTTCTCTTAACTTATGCTTCTTAATGACTACCTTGATCAAGAAACTTTGAGGGTTTTGGGACTTATATATCTTTAGTTCAGGAGTCAATTTTAGCACTGAGGCTGAAATATCCCAAGGGTACCTGAAAGGCAAGTAATGTTCTAAGATGAATAATTTAGAAAATGTGCCTTAATATTTCAGGAGAGATCATTCGTCTTACATTTTTGACTTTCACTTTATTACAAGTCATGGTAGATGTTTTAACTTCTTTAGCTCACAAAGAAATTTCTCCAGTGACAGCCAGACAAAGACAAAGACAGAGATGGTCTAATGAGAAGAGGGTCTGCTCCAGTATTTCTTAAACTTCCTGAGTCTGTGGACTGCTTTGATGAGGTTAAGGGGAGCAGTGAGGTTGAACTCCAGAATTTATAGGATAACTGCTCTGTTTTTGATGAGACAGCAATGTAGAACTACATGGTTTCCTTGAACGTTGTATGCAAATTGTCAGTGTGCTAGAAGCAAAATTGTAGAAATTTGCTTTGTTTTTAACTTTTTCTGAAATAAATATTTGTCACTTTTATTAGAAAATTAGTTTGACCTGGGGACAGCTTTAGTCCTTTTCTGTATATACCCACAGGAAATGTGGTCATGCCAGTCCAGTGCTATCTGGACCCTTCTTCAGGCCTCAATGGGAATTTGCTGCTTGAAGAGCAGCCTAAAATTAAACAACTGGCCTGTTGTTACCAGACTTCATGAGAAATGGCCCTTATTTACCAGGCCCCATGAGCTGTTAAATGTTTTTCCTCTTTTAAGTGCAGATGTGTCTTTGCAAGTGGGAACTGTAAACCAAGGGGTACATCTGTTTGAGTTCTGGTCTTTTTAACAGAACAAAATAAACATCTTAGTGGACTTTGGATGAGAAAAGTCAGAGCCCATTCGACCCATGAAAAATTGATTGATTTCCCCCCAAAGGAAAAAAGTGGGGTTTTTTGTTTGTTTTTAAGGAAAAAAAAAAAAACCCTTTTAAACAACTGAGTCTTCCAAGTGGGATAGCCCTCACCAGCCCTTTTGACCTTAGATCAAATCAATTACTTTTACTTTGAAGACCTTAAACAGAATGCTTGCTATTTTTTAGGGAACCACCCTGGTTACTGTGGATCAGTGTCTCCCTCCCTCCCTAACAGGTTGGCCTGTTTGAGTAAGCTTTCCCTATCATAATAAAACAACTTCCCAAGTGACTTATCTCCATGCTAACGTTTTTTCAGTAATAAAATAATTTATAAGCTCTCCAAGGCAGTAAGTTCGTATGTTAATTTGGGTTCTAATTAAATTTTAATTCCTAAGAGAGAGGCAGGGTACATGGAAGCAAAAAATAAATAGATATCTTCCATCACTTTTCACAGTATTAGTGAGTTAGAAAAAATTTCTGGGAAAAAAAGAGTTTCCCTTATTCTTGAGAGTCTATTTAAAGAAGATGGCAAGTAGTTCAGAGTTCTAGGGGGAGGGGAGAGGCAAGAACAAACTTCAGACTCTTAGTTTTGTCTCCAGCTAAGCTAGTAGCTTTGCATGTCTAAACTACAGTTTCTTCAATAAAAATATTCTGGGGACAAATAATAATAGCTAGTATTTACTGTTTCTTAACCAGAAGCCAAACTCCATGATACACATTTTATATGCTTTATCTCATTAAGGAATAGGGGGAGAGAGGGACATTAGTATTTTTTGTAAGTGAAGACACTGAGTTTGGCTCAGAAGAGTTGCAGACTAGCAGCTGTCCAAGTCAGACCTTGAACCTGATTCTCCCTGTTTTCTGAGTCTGTCCTCTTAAACCACTGCATTTTCACCCCTCTCATTCTAAGTAAGTGAGTGTGTGTGTATTTGGGAACCAAGATGTGTATATTCTTCATCCTCTGCGTAGTTAAAGATAACTTGTGGCCTTTTCTAGCCAGTGGCTGAACCAGATAGCCTTTCAGGTCATGCTCAGGAAATGAGTACCCTGTCAGGTGTGAGCACAAGAGAGAGCCTGATTTGGTTGCCATGGTAGCAGGGCAGAGGGATCAGAGAGGGGTAATGGCCCATCAAACAGTGCTGTCGAGGTTCCTCACTGGTTTATATCCGGTGGTTACTGTTGATTTTGTTTCTCCATAATGAAAACATTGGGCATTTCCAGATCCTTTTAATAGGCAAGGAAGTGGAAATGAAATTAAGAAGGCCTGAAGCCCTTTTTAATTAACTCTGAAAATCTAAATTACAAGCCACACCACCACGTCTGGTGTGTGTGTGTGTGCATATCAATTATCATTACTTTCAAATAAAAGGTTGAGGAAAAAATTCTACAGCTCTTTTAAACACACAGAGAGGCTTTTTATAACATGTAAGGATGGAAGACATTTTCAAGGAATGTTAAGCTCAATAGCAAACTTTTAAAGTATTACTTCCCTGGTATAATTGTTTGGTTTCAGTTACTGGAAAATATTTTCTCTTTTTAATTTTTTTGATCTTATTATAGAGATGTAGGGTACAAGTCAGGATTAGCTACACAAGTAGGCTTCATGCAGATGAAGTTTGGGCTTCCAACTTGTCCTTACTTCCTCTGGTTTGGGGCCATGTACCTTTTGTGTTGTTATGTGTCCCCTCCCTCCAGATAGTAATTTAAATAAGAGTTGTAAAAGCAGCAGCAGAATATATAAACTTTCCGAAGCTGCCACACTTTATTTTTAAGCAGTGTTTCCAAATCATCAGATATTACTTAATCTTATAACCCATAAAACATCCATTTTTTTTGTTCATTCAGAACACAAACTTGGGGTGTCTGCTGAATAGTGGACTCAGTGCAGAATACTGAGGATACAGAAATGAAAGATACTCTCTTGTCAGGGTCTTGCCCTGAATCTTTTTAAAGAGCGGGTGTTGTAGTGAATGTGGCTTCCTAGTCCAAGGGAAAGACGCAAAAGCAGGCCATTGGCTGTGTTTTATGCCTCTGGTAACTAGTTGGAGCCTGGTAGCCCTTGCATTAGAATGCCGAGGCTCGGGTGCCATCAAGAGGGAGGAGTAGAAAAAGGGATGTGTCTTCCATTGAGTCTCTGACATGGTATTTGCACAATGTGACTGATGGGATATGTCAGGGAAATTAACAGTTCACTGAAATGAAGGCAGTGGAGTTGAAATGTCTTTAAGCTTAAATTGTTCATTGCATGGTATTGTGATGTTAGCCATTAGCTATAGCCAAAAATCGTTCTGGACCTGTTGGAGCTAATTTTAAATATCTCTATGAATGCTTCCTGCATCTGAACTTTTTTTTAATACTCCTGCTTTAACTTCTTGAGGCCCTTTTATAATTGTGCCATCAAATCTTCTAGATGAGTTTCTTATAATAAATTTTAAAAGAAATTCTATTTTTTAAAATAAAATGGGAGGCTTTCACCTGGCTGGATATTTTGGAATGTTAGGAAAATTCTGAGATGTATGCATATGCAGTAATTTAAGTTATTTTGTTTCTAGTTTAGATTGGCAGAAAGTTCAAGCAGATTGTAGTAAGGGTCTTACCAAACAAGAAAATAAATGTGCAACTAAGAAAATTACTTTGTGAAAGCAAGCCAGAGACTAAGAAAAATGTCCATTGCCTGTCATTTTGAAGATTCCACTAGTTTCCTGCAGCCATGCAGATAAAGGAATGTTGGCCAGGCCTGGGGATCAGTTAGGTGTTTGTTCAGTCCAAGAGTAATGCCACTGTAGCTTTAAAGCCCAATTATTTTGACACTCCAGCCTTCTTTATGTTTCCTTTTTAGCTGCCCTGTCTCAGCTCCTATGACAGCTACTGCAGTAATCAAGTAGCCGCCAAAGCTCTGCTGGACCACAAAAAACAGGATCACCGAGTCCAAGATTTCCTACAGCGATGTTTAGAATCCCCCTTTAGCCGCAAACTAGATCTCTGGAATTTCCTTGATATTCCAAGAAGCCGTCTGGTGAAATACCCTCTGCTTCTTCGAGAAATCTTGAGACACACACCAAATGATAATCCAGATCAGCAGCACTTGGAAGAAGCTGTAAGTTTGTCTGTTTCTTTCTTTCTTTTCTTACTTTTCCCATAATGACTAGTGGGTTGAGTCAGTAGATGAATAGAAGGGTCCCCGGGTACTAGGGACTCAGGAATCTTGGGATCCAGGCCTGACACTATCATCTACCATGTTTTGATCTTGCAAGTCACTTCTCTCTCTCTGCCTCAGTTTCCTATCCTCACCAATGTGTTTACATGAATCACACTTTAAAGTCCCTGTGGCTCTAAAATTTCTTAATTTTATAAAGGTGGCTCTAATCTTTTTTTGAGTTGGAGTCTTACTCTGTCACCCAGACAGTAGTGCAATAGCCACTCCCAGCCACTGCAGCCTCGACCTGCTGGGCTCCGGCGATCCTTCCGCCTCCGCCTTCCAAGTAACTGGAACTACAGGCGCGCGCTATCATGCCCGGCTAATTTTTAACTTATTGTAGAGATGAGGTCTCGCCAAGTTGCCCAGGCGGGTTTTGAACCCGCGGGCTCAGGCAATCCACTCAACTCAGCCTCCCAAAGCACTAGGATTACAGGCTGAGCCACCAAGCCCGGCTTGGTATCAATTTTTATTACTAAAAAAATTACTTTAACCCAACAAAGGATTTTGTAATAGGAAGAAGAAGTAATGCAGACTGTATCTTCTCACTTACATTTTATAATGGAAATTTTGAAGAATTTGAAAAACCCAGCCATGAATAAGTACAGAAACTTAAAGATAGATGAACATATGTTGGGACTCTTTTTAATGAACGGTCTCAATTTTATGCAAAACTTGACTTTGGGGAATATTTTAAATTGAGTATCTTTGTTTTGTTAGAAAACAGGGAGCTGCCTTTTAGCTTAGTGAAGTTGACATCCATTTAAGATCTAGCTCTCCTCAGCCCCCAATTGCATTGGGGTGCCTCGTCAAACCTCCTGCTCATTAGTAGGCTCCTTACTCAGGAAATATTTATTGAGTATGGGGTGGGGATATATATATTTGGAAAATATAGGTTTTTCCCTAACAACAATAGAAAACAAGAAAAAATGGGGTCCATATTGTTAGACTATTGTAAACTGTGAGTATTCCAACTAGAGAGCTCTGTTCTGGTAGAGGTACTTCTCTGGGCAGGGCAGAGCAGATGGCAGGGAGGAGGGAGTGACTTGACAAAAGGTATAAAGAAATGACAGGACAGGTCATCCCCCACCCCAGGTTGGGGATGCTCAGAGGAAACAGCAAAAGAGAAGACAGAGGATGTGGGTCCAGATCCAGTTGTTTAAAAAGTTTTCAGGTGGAACTCGGTGGCTTAGCCTGTAATCCCAGCACTTTGGGAGGCTGAGGCTAGTGGATTGCCTGAGCCCATGGGTTCAAGACCAGCCCGGGCAACTTGGTGAGACCTCGTTTCTACAAACAAACAAACAAAAAATAGCCGGGCATCATAGTGCACGCCTGTAGTTCCAGCTACTTGGAAGACTGAGGTGGAAGGATCACCTGAACCCAGCAGGTTGACGCTGGAGTGGCTGTGAGTGTGCCACGCACTCCAGCCTTGGCAACAGAGTGAGACTCCAACTCAAAAAAAAAAGTTTTGAGAAAATTTCCCTTTATTGTGTAATTAGTTAAAGGTTTGTTTTTATTTGTTGGTTGGTATCTAAGTAACTGAGATCCAGGGTTCAAATCCCAGCTCCATCACTTACAAGCTGTGTAGCCTTGGACACATTACTCTCTATGGAGCAGGGAATGGAGGAGTAGGAGACTAGTGGCAGAGAAACAAGTTGGGAGAATGCTACAGTGGTCCAGGTGTGAAAACCTTATCAGGGAGGCCAACAGGCCAATTCAGAGGGCTCTTTTCCTGATTTAATAAAGAACAGGGCTAGACATGGTGGCTCATACCTATAATCCCAGCACTCTGAAATGCCAAGGTGGGAGGATTGCTTGAGACCAGGAGTTTGATACCAGCCTGGGCAACACAGTGAGACCCCATCTCTACAAACAGTTTTTAAAAATTAGCCAGACCTGGTGGTGTCTGTAGTTCCAGCTACTCAGGAGGCTGAGGCAGAAGGATGGTCTGAACCCAGGTTGAGGCTGCAGTGAACATGCCACAGCACTCTAGCCTGGGTGAGTGAGACTCCAATGCAAAAAAACAATTAAAAAAATAAAAAGGATGATAATAGAAGGAGAATATGCATAAGTAATTTGAAATCCAGAAGAAGCCTTGGACCTGCTGAGTAAACTGCCTGTCTCCTCCCATAAAGGGGTTTAATAATAAGTGACAGTAACAACAATAATAATCATAATATTTGCTGATATTTAGTGAATATGTAGTAAATCAACTTTATGTAATTTGCCTTGTAGGTTATCTCATTTAATCCTCATATCCTATGAGATAGCTGTTTTATTAGGACCATTTTCCAGATGAGGCTTGGAAGGGTTAAATGCCCAAGTCCAGAGCCAGCAAGTAATGCAGTTGATGTGCAGACCCTATCAGTGTGTACTCCAAATCCTGTGCCATTCTATTTTGTGATTCTGTGCCCTGATGTGAAAAGCCTAGCCACTTCTTTGAGCCCCTGTTGCCTTTGGAATTGCAGAGAGCTGTCTGGTACAGAACTGGGCTGGGTAAGTCCAAGTAGGATAGAGAAGAGCAATGAAAGAATTTCTGATTCATGAGGTGCTCAATGTATCTGGCAGGTCCCACACACAGAGACCAGGCCCCTGGTCCAGCACAGACAGGGGACGCAGGCTCTGGGGATGGGCCCATCTCACTTCATCATGTCTGTTTTTATTACTGGGAAGAGTGTGATAGAGTTGTCTCTCCTCTCCATATTTCATTCCAGCAAGTGTGTGGTCTGTAGAAATAAAACATTGGGGAACCTGAGCTACTCTAAATAATTACTTTTTTGAAGCACAGGAGCCTGTTCTGAGTTTTACTGCAAAAATCTCTTATTTTTAATACGTAGCCTGAAAATATACTGTTTTGTTCCAAAAGAAAAAACAAACCCCAGTGAGCTAAAGTTTGAGTTTAAAAACCAATAAGAATATGATCATTGACAATATAAAAAGATGTGCCAGTAACCAGTTTCCCTAGTGCATAAAGTGTGAAGTCATTTCAAAAGATTAATCTGCACCTAATTATTCAGACAACTCTGTATGTGAAGCATGGTATACTTGCATTTGAAAATGTTTGCTTACACAGTATAGGCACAAGATTTTTTTTCTCCCCTTTTTTTCAAAATCCACACAGCATTACCCCAGATAAACAGAACTGTTTAGCCCTGGTACTCTTGGGTGCATTGTGAATGTTTGATAAACATAAAACCCATAGTACTAATGTAGCTTGACTTATTTATTCCCTGAATAAATTTCCCATCTATGAAAAGGAAAAAATCAGAGTGCTAAGTAAATTGCTTTCATATCAAGGGAGTTGATTACATTTCAGTTCTATGATTGAATCTAAAAGAGGTCTTTTAATGCAGTGCATAAACTACTGCATATTTGTTAGAATTTCTTAGTAGTGTTTTGAGGGTTGATAGAATTTCCCCCAGAAGGATTTCTTAAAATAGAACCCTGGATATTTAGATACTTCAGAGAATTAGTTGTTTAATGTTTTAAATTTTAAGGAAGGATACAGCCAGAAAACAATGCTACTGACCATCCCCCACCAACCACTGTTCCCCAACTTCTTTAAAAAAAAAATCACTGAAATAAATGGGAAGAACAGTCCTGCCTTTCATGCAGCAACCATGAAGACTGCTATTCTTGGTTCTTGTCAGGAGGCGATGAGTAGATGATATTGTGCCATAAGGGACCAGACAGACAGGACTTTCAGATTTCACTTTGAAGATGATGAATCCAGCATGTGTGGACTTAATCCCTGTGCTGTTATCAGATATCTCTCATCATCTCCCTTTACCAGTCCCTTCCTTCAGTTTGAACCCTGGTGAGAGATGCAACAATACATTTAATTTAAATGCACAACTACTGTGATTGTTTGCTATTGTCAACCTGCTGTATGTAACTTTATTCCTCCCTGAAATCATGCAGAATAAATTCCTCTCAAGAACCAATACAGACAGAGAAGACCCTCATGATATTTAGGTAGCTATAAATACAAAACATTTTTAATAAATGAAAGTAGACCCTAATAGAGTTATTATTATAAATATATAAATAGAATATGGAATGATGATGACATTATTTCCATTGTTTTGTCTCTTTCTATTTTTTCAAACACCAGAGAAAGAAGCAGTATTTGAAAGTAGTCATAGCTAAGAAACGACTGTAGCGTTTGAGTATATTAATCTTCATGTGATATGCCAGCTGTTCAGTTCCTGAGTTAAATTAGGAAATGAACAGATCTTTATGCCTGTAGTGCATCTTCTGGTTTCCCGGGTACAGGCAGAAAATTGACTCAAGTATTGATTAATTCCAGCTGTCCAAGCCTACCTAGTAACAGTTAACTGATAAGATAAACCATAGCAATTGCTGCTAAGTTCTTCAAAAGCAAGGGAAAGTATGCATTCCACTACGTATTAAGGATGTAGAAGCCAGGCTTGGTGGCTCAGCCTGTAATCCCGCACCTTTGGGAGGCTGAGGTGAGTGGATTGCCTGAGCCCGCGGGTTCGAGACCCACCTGGGCAGTGAGACCTCATCTCTACAATAAATCAAAAAATCAGCCGGGCGTGGTAGTGCGTGCCTGTAATTCCGGCTACTCAGAAGGCTGAGGCGGAAGGATCACCGGAGCCCAGCAGGTCGAGGCTGCAGTGACTGGGAGTGGCCACTGCACTCCAGTCTGGGTGACAGAGTGAGACTCCAACTCTTAAAAAAAAAAAAAAAAAATGTAGAAAGGTAAAAGGATTAGTTAGGCATAAAACAATTGCTCTGATACCACCCATATGTTGTTGGATTTTTCCCTTTATTTTTTATTAATAGAGATGGGGTCTTGCTATGTTGCCCAGGCTGCTCTCAAACTCCTGGCCTCAAGTGATCCTCCCACCTTCATCTCCCAAAGTGTTAGGGATTATAGGCATTAGCCACCACACTTGACTAACCTCTCATGTTTTAAGCTTCTTGAGGGCAGGGATACTCTCTCATTTCTTTGAATACTACCACTTAGTCTAATATCGAACAGGTGCTCAACATTAGTTAAATTAATTTGAATGATGAGTCACAGCTTTAGTATAGTGTGTGAATTTTTTTTTTTTTTTTTTTTTGGTCTGTCTTGAAAGTAGCAGTGGCTGAGGGCAGTGGCTCATGCCTGCAATCCCAGCACTTTGGGAGGCTAAGGCAAGAGGATTACTTGAAACTAGGAGTTTGAGAACAGACTAGGCAACATAGTGAGATCTCGTCACTACAAAAACTCAAAAAATTAGTGATGTGGTGGCATGCACCTATTGTCTTAGCTATTCAGGAGGCTGAGGCAGAAGAACCACCCAGGAGGTTGAGGCTGCAGTAAGCTGTGATCGTGCCACTGTACTCCAGTCTAGTCAACAGAGTGAGACCCTGACTAAAAAAAAAAAAAAAAAAAATCAGCCATCCTTGAAAAACCAAGAGGGAGAAGAAAGCAGGGCTATTTATATCAGTTATGATAAAAGACAGTATGTCTTTTTTAAAAAGAGTTTCTACTGTTTATTATTTGTCTTGTGGTAATAAAACTCAGATTGCCAGGCACAGTGGCTCACGCCTGTAATCCCAGCATTTTTGGAGGCAGAGGCGAGAGGATTGCCTGACCCCAGGAATTCGAGACTAGCCTGGGCAATTTGGCAAGACCTCATCTCTACAATAAACAAAAAAATTAGCCAGGCATGGTGGCACATGCCTGTGGGTCCACTACCCAGAAGATTGAGGCGGAAGGATGACCTGAGTCAAGGCTGCAGTGGCCATGAGCATGCCACTATACTCTAGCCTGGGTGACAGAGTGAGACAACAACTAAAAAAAAAAAAAAAATCTCAGATTAATGTTACAGGATTTATATTTAATATTAGGTCAAAGCCCAAAAAGCTTATTTTATGACACTAAAGAACCTGTATTTTTTTAAAAATAATTTTTAAAAAATCAAAGTAGTGCTGGCCGGGCGTGGGGGCTCAGTCTGTAATCACAGCACTTTGGGAGGCTGGTGAGAGGATTGCCTGAGCTCAGGGGTTCGAGACCAGCCTGGGCAACTTGGTGAGACCTCCTCTCTACAATAAATCACACACACACAAAAAACTAGCCAGGTGTGGTGGCGTGCGTCTGTAGTTCCAGCTACTTGGAAGGCTGAGGCGGAAGGATCGCCTAAGCCCAGCAGGTCGAGGCAGCAGTAGCCGTGAGCGTGCCACCGCACTCCAGCCTGGGAGACAAAAAGACTCCAACTCAAATTAAATAAATAAATAAAAGTAGTGCTACCACCAAAATTTTAGAATTAGAGAAAAGAATAAATAAATGATCTTTGAAACTTTTAATAACTACAAAAATGTACAGGTTATACATTAATTAAGGATATGGTCCTTAATTAAGGATATGGTCACCAGACTTCAACTCAGAGCTGTAAGATCTTCTGCCAAACTTGTGTGGAAGTACAAAAGTTATAACTGGGTAATAGTTTTTACCCATTTACTTTGGACAGATGATATCATTTTACTAGCATATGAAAAATAATCACTGAACAATCCTACAGAGAATTTATTACAACCTTAAGACATTACAAGATCTGGTAGCTTCCACTGAGTAAAGGTCTCTTTTAGAACCTTGCTTTTCAGAGGGTTTTTGTGTTAAATAAAATGTGACCAAGAAAGGCCTTAGCAACATTTTCCATCTGTTATTTTCTGTTATCATCACAAGAAAGATGGTACTGTTGCTCTTTTCACTATTAGGGGGCAAATAATCCTGCTGTGAAAGTCATTATTTTGCCTGATTGGTGTCACTGAGTTTTAGTCAACTAATTTTTCATTCCTTTTTTTTCTTTTTTTTTTTTTTTTTTTTTTTTTGAGCTGGAGTCTCACTCTGTCGCCCAGACTGGAGTGCAGTGGCTGCTCCCGGCCACTGCAGCCTCAACCTGCTGGGCCCCGGTGATCCTTCTGCCTCAACGTTCCAAGTAGCTGGAACTACAGGCGCGCGCTACCACGCCCAACTAATTTTTTGATTTATTGTAGAGATGAGGTCTCGCCAAGTTGCCCAGGCGGGTCTCAAACCCGTGGGCTCAGGCAGGCCACTCACCTCAGCCTCCCAAAGCGCGGGATTACAGGCTGAGCCACCGAGCCTGGCTTCCTTTGTTTTCTAATATTGTCTACTATTTAGACATATTATCCATGAGACAGAGTAACATCACATTGGACTGAATACCCATTGATCACATCTCTTGTTTTTGTACTAATGACCTTGCATCCACCATTGCTTTGGAATCTTCTGCCTCTAACTTACTCACATGTGCTATAGACATGGGCATGAGTGTATATATACAGACTATTCCCATAATTACTCCTAATGTCTTTTCTTTCCATTCTTTACAAAACATTTATGTTTTGTCACTAAAAAAAAATCCAAGCCATTTGTTCACACCCAATTTGCAAATATCTTTTATAGATTAGATTGAGCACGTATTGGAAGACCTTGAAACTAGCTTTCAGGTCCCCAAAGACTATCTCTTTTTTAGACCCTTACATTCAGCTTTGTTTTCTCTCATTAACCAGTTTTTTTATATGGCTGCATTTTCAACATTGTGAGCATGTTTTAAAGTGAATGTGGTGGCTCACATCTGTAATCCCAGCCTTTTGAGAGGCTGAGGCAGGTGGATCACTTGAACCCAGAAGTTCGAGACCAGCCTAGGCAAGCTAGAAATGCCTCATCTCTACAAAAAAATTTAAAAATTAGCCAGGCATGGTAGTGCATGTCTGTAGTCCCAACTACTCAGAAAGCTGAGGCAGAAGAATTGTCTGAGCCTGGGAGGCTGAGGCTGCAGTGAGCTGTGATTAGCCACTGCACTCCAGCCTGGGTGACAGAGTGAGATTCAAACTCAAAAAAGGAAAAGAAAAGAAAGAAATGTGTAACCTGGAGCTCGATAGCTAACTCTTGCACATTGAAGACTGTATCTTTTTATTTTTATTTTTTTTGAGTTGGAGTCTTACTCCATTGCCCAGGCTGGAGTGCACTAGCACACTCACAGCCATCCCATCGTTGACCTGCTGGGCTCAGGCGATCCTTCCACCTCACCCTTCCAAGTAGCTGAAACTGCAGGCACATGCTATCACACCCAGCTAATTTTTCATTTATTGTAGAGATGAGGTCTTACCAAGTTGCCCGTGCTGGTCTCTAACCCGTGGGCTCAGGCAGTCTACTCGCCTCAGCCTCCCAAAGTGCTGAGATTATAGGCTGAGTCACCGAGCCCGGCCTCAAAGACTGTGTCTTATTTTTCTTCTCTCAGATAGAATTATGCATCAATATTTTTAAGATATATATTACAAATATCTATGTAGGTGAACTAATAAATGTACATGTATGTATATATGTGTGTGTGTATATATATATGTGTGTGTGTGTATATGTATACAGATGAGTAAATAGATGCAGTATACTAAAAGCATTTTTTCCCCTTTTCCCAAAGCAGCAATTTAGGATAACAGAATTTTAGAATTAGAGCCACATATGTCTTGTTGACCCACTAGGCTGAGTCCCTAAGACTTATTGGATGTTTGCTTACTTTCCCCTATACTTATTTTCCTCTTTGTTTTGATAGATAAACATCATTCAGGGAATTGTGGCAGAAATCAACACCAAGACTGGGGAATCTGAATGCCGCTATTATAAAGAGCGCCTTCTTTACTTGGAAGAAGGCCAGAAAGACTCCCTGATAGACAATTCACGTGTCTTGTGTTGTCATGGCGAACTGAAGAATAATCGAGGCGTGGTAAGTGGTTGCCCTCCTTGAGCAGTCCCATCCTGGGCCTCCCCAGCCCTAATGCATTTGATACTGAGTCTCCTTCCCTATTTAGGGTCATGTTCTTTTAAACAAAAACTGCTTTTCCGGTGTCATTTATATCACAGGATCATATATATGTATATTCATTCATTTTTTTTTTTTAAGGTTTAATGCCACAGACCAGTACATATTCAGAAAGAATCTTGAAAACTCACGTATGGTTGCCAGCTATTTATTTTGTTTGGTTATGACCTTGGAAAACAAATACAGAAAAGTTAGCATCTTTCACTTTGATTTCATAAAACAAAGGGTAATTTTAACAAGATGTTAAAAGGATTTAATCTTCGAAAAACCTAGCTTTTACATCAAATGTGTTTAGCTTTATGAGAAGCTCTTTTCTTTTTCATGGATTGGGACTCATCTACAGAATAGCATTTTGAGACCTTTATTGTTTTGTTTGTTTTTTAATAATAACCTGTCTTCCATTGGCTGCATATCTAGCTCTGACTTGTAGACACCCCATTTCCTGGCTTTTATTCCTGAGTAGATATTGAAGTTGTTCTTCCTATGCTATTGTATCAACCATGCAAATCTCCACAGGAGCACTTACTACAGTGGGTTGCAATTCTGTCTGTCAGTATATTTCATGATATAGTGTTCTTTTAGGGTAGGAACTGTGCTTTGTCACCCCTAGAACCTATTATGGGTACCTGGCACATACTGGGCATTCAGTGAATGAATACTTATTTAACAGAAGGATGATTTTGAGTTATATCATTCAATTCACCAGGTTGTTTGTATGTATAGCCAGTAGAAAGTGTGTGTGTGTGTGTGTGTGTGTGTTTTAAATTCTGTGTTGAAATAGCCTTTGAAAGAGAGGGTCTCAGCCAGGCACAGTGGCTCACATCTGTAATCCCAGCATTTCGGGAGACAGAGGCGAGAGGATTACCAGAGCTCAGGGTTCGAGACCAGTCTGAGCAACATGGCAAGACCTCATCTCTACAATAAATAAAAAAATCAGCCACGCATGGTGGCACATGCCTGTGGTTCCTGCTACTTGGAAGACTGAGGTGAAAGAATCACCTGAGCCCAGCAGGTCAAGGCTGTGGTGGCTGTGAGTGTGCTACTGCACTCCAGCCTGGGCGACAGAGTTACACTACAACTCAAAAAAAAAAAAAAAAGCGGGGGGGGGGGTCCTCCATTTTTGTTGTATTTCATCTTCAGTATCTAGCCAACCCTTAGAATGAAAACTAAAACTAGATTGAAGTTTTCTTAATAAGGCTTTGATAATTCAAGGGATACCCTTTTGGCCTGGACTGAGCTGACTTGGAAATGTTACTTAAAATTAGTGAGTACCCATAGCTAATTTTGTGCTGATAGTACAAATGATCATGAATGGTATAATAAATGTAAGGAGTAGTGAAGATAGGAAAAAAAAAAAAAAGAAATTATTGAGTACCTATCATAGCCCATTATCAGGGTTGCTGTGGGTTCAGCCAGCTGATGGTGCGGTCGGGTAATGAGATCTGTTGAGTCTGCTGCTTAAAGACGTGCATCTGTGGGACTAGAGAGATGATTGCTAGAAAGCTGCATTCTGTTTCTTGCTTATTCTCAGAAAGCACCAGCAGACTTCTAATATCTGACACTTGGCTCCTTGAATGTTCTTTCTAGGAAGGCCTGTAAGAAATCAAGAACTGCATTGCTGCACAGGGTGTAGGGCCTATTCTCTTTCTGTACATCTGTCAAGGACTGAGGACTCTCTGGTTGGATGTGCCTAGAGGATTAAAGATAAACTCTTAATTCATATTGCCTGCAGATAGATGTTTGAGAGCAAAGATAATTGTTGGGGTGGGAGGTTTGTTGTTTTTCCCCCAGTAGAGTTGTGAAGGTCATTGGGAACAAAGTCCTGTGTCAGAAAAAAGAAAAAAGCACAGTAGTTTGAGGGCAAAAACGAGCTGAGGCTAACAAGAGGAACTCTCAATGAACATTCATAAATGAGTCATATTTTTTAAAAGCTGCCTAGACAATCTGAATTCAAACTGCCTGCTTTGGCTAGAAGGTTGATTGGCGTAGAAACAGTGTAAAAATCCCCGATTATACTTTGCATAAAATGATGACTAACTTCTTCCTTCCCCTGCCCCCAAAAGAAAATTCTTTTTTTTCTTTTTTTTAAGCCAGAGTCTCACTCTGTTGCCCAGGCTAGAATGCAGTGGCACTCTCACGGCCTCCCCAGCATGGACCTGCTGGGCTCAGGCGATCCTTCCCCATCAGCCTTCAAAGTAGCCGGAACTACAGGTGCACACTACCATGTCCAGCTAATTTTTTGGTATATTGTAGAAATGAGGTCTTACCAAGTTGCCCAGGCTGGACTTGAACCGCTGGGCTCAGTCATTTCTCCCACCTTGACCTCCCAAAGTGCTGGGATTACAGACTTGAGCCACCACACCTGGCCAAGAAAATTCTTAACACATTCTTTCTACCACCACCACCCCCAAAAAGCCTTTAACTTGATTATTTTATGTTTCACTCTGTTTTTCAATCTTTTTAAATATACATTTCATTCCCAACAGTCAAGATTTGGTTGGATTTTGTTCAGTTTCTTTTTTTGGGGTAGGGGGTAATAGAAGCTTGGGGGTAGTGTGGTATCTGCACAGGTTGTAAATTGCAATGTGATTTGGGATCCTGGAGTTGGCAGCCCTGGCTGCGGGTATCTGTAGGCAGAGAGACTTTCTCCAGTGGGTCGCTAAGGAGGTATTTCTATAGAAACAGCAATGGATAGATATATCTGGAATGCCTCAGATCTACCCATCTTCTGTTCTTCTGGAGGTAGATTCAAGCCTAGTAGCTCATAATTCAGTATGAACCCGGTATTGGGAACCTTTCTATTAACAGAGGTCCAAAAATCAACTCATTAGGTTGTTGATTCTTTTCTCCTAGAAACTGCATGTTTTCCTGTTCCAAGAGGTGCTTGTGATCACTCGAGCCATCACCCACAATGAGCAGCTCTGCTACCAATTATACCGTCAACCAATTCCTGTGAAGGACCTCCTGCTGGAAGACCTGCAGGATGGAGAAGTGAGACTTGGTGGCTCCCTGCGTGGGGCATTCAGCAACAATGAGAGAAGTACGCATGGCAGTTGGGGTTGACCTGTTGAGTGTGTTTGGTCATGGTAGTTTGGAGGGAGTGGCTGGCTGGTGGAAAGAGAAGAGCCACAACCTTGAAGTCAAACTGCACTTGAATGTCTCGTCACTTACTGGTTGTGTAACCTTATTTAACTCCTGTGATCCTCTGTTTCCCATCTGTAAAATGGAGATGCATACTACCTCCTTCATAAGGTTGTTATAAGAATTAAGATACTGTAAATGAGCCTATCTGCACATGGTTGGTGCTTCTTAAGCCCCCTTTCTCTGTCTCCTTCTATTAGATAAAAACATGCTTAATGGCAGGTAGTCTTTATGGCTACCAGTTGCATTATGATGAGTTTTATACTTGAGCTGGCAGACTCGTCTCTAAAGAGACATAATAATGGTCAACTGAATGTGGGTTCATCTGTTACATTACTCAAATGCACTTCTCTGACTCGAGACTAATAAAGAAATTAACCAAAAGAAGTTAAGATAACTGTGTCTATTGAGTATCCTCCATGTCAAGCATCAAGTGTCAAGCACTGTTCTAGACACTAGTATAGAGTGGTAAACCAAGCAGTTACCTTCCTTGCCCTATGGAGCTCACATTGTGATGGAGGAGACAGATCATTAACAAATAACTATTCTAGGTACTGTTAAGAAAATTAAACCTCAGTAAGAAGATAGAGAGGGATGGCAGTAGGGGATCCATTTTAGATGGGAGGACTTTTTTGAGAAAGTAACATTTGAGCCTCCTGGGTTAACATAGGCATCATATTGTTATTTGTTAATGATCTGCCTCCTACCTATTAATCAATACCACTATCAGTGGTAATAGTAGTAAAAATAAGAGCTCATAATCTTGAATACTGTCTATGTGCCATGCCTTGTATAAGCACTTACAGGTATTGTCTCATCTATTCCTCCTAACGAACTTATAAGGTAGGTTCTTGTTGTTTTACACATTTTATAAATAAGTAAGCTAAGATACAGTGGAGGTAAGGCACTTGCCCAAGATCAAAGGGTTGAGTCTAAATTTAAGGGACAGATATTATCTTCTAGCCAAAGATGGCTAGTGGTGAAATATTTGGGTCTATTCCGCCTCTGTTGCTTAAATGGTGGATCCCAGTCCATTGGCTACAGTGTTAGTACAGAGAGACTGACTGCAGATGCTTCCATGAACCAAGCATTGCATGTGAAACGCAGGGCCCACGAAGTTCATTAGGTTTTTGTTAGGTTAAATAAAATGTCTTCCATATTGTACACTATTTTTTAAATGCATGTAACTCCCATGAGGTAATTAAAATGTAATTTCATTTTAAAACAAAACCATTCTTAGTGCTTACAGAAAAAAATTTTTGTTTAAAAAAAATAAACAAATTTGTCTTTACATATCTTCTCAATCATTGTATACTAAGCATATAGTTGCTCTCATGTGGAGAAACCTGGGCATGTTTTGATGTTACAAAGCACCTTAAGCTGGAAAAAGCTCTAGCTTGAAGCACTTGTTGAAATTCCAGATTACTAGATCCACCTTACCTCTATAAAATCAGAATCTCTGAGGGTAGAAACTGGTGGTCTGTTTTTTGCTTTTGTTTTTAAGATAAGATCTCTCTAATGTTGCCCAAGCTAGTCTCGAACTCTTGGCCTCAAGCAGTCCTCCCACCTCAGCCTCCTGAGGGGAATCTGTGCTTTTAACAAGCTTGCCCTAGGGATTTTGCTTTGTAGCCAAGTTTGGTAACTAGTACTCTGGAATACCCTGAATCACAAAATTTAAGTTGTTCCAAGATGATATCTACCTGCTAGTTTCTGAGAACAATGAGAGCAACTGAGAGCTAGACTTGTGTCAACTCCAACTGACTGATGGAGTGAGCTATGTCCTGGATCAGGGGACACATTTTGTAATCAGCAATGTCTGCCATGGTACTGGGAGTTAGTGTCACAACATGTGTTATCTTTGGCCTGGGGAAATACCTATACATTGACCTTTTTTTCCACATACTTTTCATTTCTAGTTAAAAACTTCTTCAGAGTAAGTTTCAAGAATGGATCCCAAAGTCAGACGCACTCACTACAAGCCAATGACACCTTCAACAAACAGCAGTGGCTCAACTGTATTCGTCAAGCCAAAGAAACAGTTCTGTGTGCTGCTGGGCAGGCTGGGGTGATTGACACCGAGGGATCTTTCCTAAGTCCCACTACTGGGAGCAGAGAGCCACAGGGAGAAACAAAACTTGAGCAGATGGACCAATCGGACAGTGAGTCAGACTGTAGTATGGACACGAGTGAGGTCAGCCTCGACTGTGAGCGCATGGAACAGACAGACTCTTCCTGTGGGAACAGCAGGCACGTTGAAAGCAACGTCTGACAGAAGCATGTGCACTTCCTGGAAGTAGCCCTGTGTCTTACCTGTACAGTATTTGCATTCCACACATGGAACAGTTTGGAGAAGCACTTTTTAATACTTTTGTGACTATGTTGGCCCAGTCTCTTGTATCTGTACCTTTGTCCCTAGTACTGTAACTGCCAGTGTGTCTGTGTAAGCTGGAATCTGTGGCAACCGTTACCCTGTATTGTATTCACAAGAGTCTGGATGGATGGAGAGGTACTTGAACAAGTTACTTTCAATTGTCCTGCTGGATTTTTAAAAATAGTTCAAACAAACAAACAAACCTGCTGTTTTGCATAGATTGCTTGAAGAGTCCTTCTTCCTGTGCTTCTCTAGTGCTTTTCCAGCTCTTTGATGTGGTAGCTGATGGCATGGAACTTAGAAAGCCTTGCAAACAGGGTAAGAGGAAGTCACTAGTGTATCAGGATGGCATTGGAGAGAGAATCAGGGAAAGTCAATCCTTGAAGTGATCTTGTTTTCACATTATTCAACCAGAAAGCATGAAAACATCCCTGGAGATTCTGAAAGCTTAATTTTGCAAAGGAAGAAACATTGTCTGAATCTTGCAATTTCATTCAGTGCTAATTTGATGCAAGAATCTATTAGGACATGAAATGAAAGTTGACCTTAAAAGGGCTAGGACAAAAGCAGCTGCTAGCTCTGAATCTTTAACTGAACTGTGTGTGGTACCAGGAGGTATCTCTCATAGTTGGTGGCTAACCTAAAACATCAGAACAGAACCCAAAGGGCCTGGGAAAACCTGCCAGGATAATGAGAAGGTCCTGTCTTTATTGTGTTTTATCTACCTAGGCCTACTCTTATTTTAGAGTGAATGAAGTGACAAAGAAAAGAGGCTATGACTGTCAGTGACTCTGGTTATAGAAACATATGAGAGGAAGAATTTGGAATGAGAAGCACTTCATCAGAACGTTCTGTGGGAACCATTAAAAGAGAAAAGCATGGTCCAGTGCCTTCTGAAAAAGGCCAGAGCCTTGGGTTTTCCTGTCTGCTTTTGGGTTGTCAATCTGCCGTCTCTGGTTCTGTGCTATAATCAGAATTGTAATTCCATTCTCCAGAGGCCCATTTCATTAATTCTGATTCATGAGGAACAGTTAGCCAAACTAGTATCCTCTTGTCCAGGCTTGATTCACAGTTCAGGGTAAAGTGCAGACCCTAAAAAATACTTACCTAAGTTCCCAGAAAAGCTTCCTGTGAGTGTAAATATTAAGGATTACCTGTGCAAAATTATACCCACACCAGCACTAGTAATAATGATTCTAAATTATTGCCAAAAAGGTTTTTTTTTAATCTTCTGTGTCTTTCAAGTTTACAGAAAAAAAGCAGTAAATACAATGTCATTTTATTATGTACATATATCATGTGCATTCAAAGAAGCTGTGTGACAAGATATATCAATATAAAAACAAGGTATATTACTTTATTATTTTTCAAAAACAAAAAATATGGTGGTCAACTTTACCCTGTAAAACTTATTTCTGTATTTATAGATTTTAAACATGGTGAATTTTTTCTATTACAAGTTTATTTAAAACTGCTTTATTTCTCAAATTGTTGTCGATTTAGCAAGTGAGTGAACCTACTGCAGACAGAAGCAGAGGAAAGCCAAGAAAAGCCATCTGATGGTGAAGAAAAGAATGAAACATTCTTTGCAGAAGCCATCAGCCACTTTGGCTAATGTGTTGAGAAAAAAGGTTTGTCACGTATTAGCCTATGGAAAGAAAGTCAGTGTTTTGATGAAATGAATGTTTTTGTATAATGGCCTTAAACTTTTCTGGAAGCATTTCAAATAAATTGCATTAAAATGTCGTCCTCCTCGTGTACAGTGTTTGCCCTACAAACATCACATTTCAGCTGTCCTCCTGGAGAGGTTCTTTCTGAAATTTTTGCTTGTGGTTTCCAAATACAAATTTTAAAATAGGGTACAGATTGAAATAAATGCTTTGATTTGTTCTCTCAAAACTTTTGCAGAAGTCATGTTTCTAAGACCTGGTTTTTCAAGCATTCTCTATTCAGTCATTTATTCATTTTTAATAACTATCTTGAATCCATACTGAATATAGAATTAAGAGATAAGTCATAGTTGTTATAGACAAGAAGTGTTGAATCTCACTGGTAATATAGGTAACTGTTAATGGATTTGAGGCTAAATAAAAGAAGGCAAATTTCATTTTGAAATTCTTACTGATATTTGAGTCCAGTTTTTCTTTAACTATAAGAGTTCATTGGTGGTTTTTTTCTTTTTGAGAAACTTGCCCACGGCAGGTCTTTACACCATGAATCTCCTTTTTTCCTTCTGTTCTTCTTACTAACAAACTCTGTTTTAAAACTTAAAAACAAACAAACAAACAAAAGAGGAGTTCATTTTATTTCCTACAAAGAGTAGTTTTCAGATGAAAAGGCTAAACTGTTTTAAGCTGTTGGTATCCAATTCTCAATAGCACACTGGCCCAATAAGTCTTATCTTTATAATAAGCTCTCACTATTTTCTTTAACATACTGTTAATTCCCACATTAGGCAAGATATTCACATAAATAAATGTAAGTCCAAATTTTTTCCCAAATGAAAATTCACTTCTCATTCCCCTCCTCTTTTTCTTCTTTCTCCTTTTTTGTCCTTGTTCTACTTCAGTGTTGCTGTGGAGAGTCCCTCCAATTTTCACTCCTATGATCATAATGACTGTTAATATTAGAGGATCTATTTTTACTAGTATGTTAGAAAATGTTTGCACTGACTTTTTTTTTTTTTTTTTGAGTCAGAGTCTCACTCTGTTGCCCAGGCTGGAGTGTGGTGGCACACTCACGGCCACCACAGCCTCGACCTGCTGGGCTCAGGCGATCCTTCCATTGCAGCCTTCCAAGGAGCTGGAACCACAGGAGCATGCCACTACACCTGGCTAATTTTATTTGTTGTAGAGGTGAGATCTCGCCATGTTGCCCAGGCTGGTCTCAAACCCATGGGCTCAGGCAATCCTCTCACCTCCAACTCCCAAAGTACTGGGATTACAAAGTGCTGGCCACCATGCCCAGCATGCACTGACATTTTGTGAGTTAGTACAAATGACTGAGGTCTAAATGGTTTTCTTCGGTCTATTTTGAAGATGTTATTTTACACACAAGTAGATGTAATCCTTGCCGTCTAAATGAAAAGTCATAAGCAGTGAACAGAGCCACAACTAACAATTTTGTGCAAAATTAGAGTATGGTTTCAGCTTCTGGGTTGTGGTCACCTCCAATGACTGCTTTAGTTTCCACTCCCAGCATAGTCTGCAGCAGCTAAGAATGCCCAACTCTTCATAACCACAGTCCTGTTTGAACAAAGGCTGTGTGGTTACAGGAAACTACAACCCACCATCTTGGTGCGCAAGCTGTCAACTTTCCATTTACATTCTGTCCATGTCCATTTTTTTACTAATTTTCCAAAAGCCTGAAAACTCTCCAGAAGATTTGGTGAAGAGAATGGCCATTCAATTTCACTCAGGTCAGTTTCTCCTACATGGCTCTCCTTGGCACTGAAAAACTAGACACTGAATACCCTCTCTTACTGATGCAGTTGATTCATTTAATTCATGTCATCTTGCTTATTGACAGAATTCTACAGTTACAGTAAAGGGAATTGAAAGAGGATCCCCCAAGCCCAAACCTACCAGTAGGAATCTGAAGATCATGAAAATTTAAAGCCTTGTCCATATAAACACACAATGAAAAAAGGTTCCTGTATTCACAGCGCCTTAAGTATATTTAGGCAAACGAGTTTGAAAAAAAAAAAAATCATAGCTCATGATAACTCTTTTCTCTAGACCTGGTAGGCATATCAGCTGCACAGATTACTCAAGGCAGTTCATCAGCTGACCTGGGGGAATAGCCAAGAATTAGAAACCGGTGCATTCTAATTTTGAGACTTAGTCATTTAGCTTAGGAAACTGGACATGCATTCCAAAGCTTGTCCACTTACACATACATATTCATGTAAAAACACAGCTAAGTATTTATAACTGTGCTACCTCATCAATGAAATGTTTGAAGAATGATATCTTGTTGGTGTTCTATCCTGCATCTGCTTCTGTGACAGCACACTGAACACCTTAGCCCATTTAAATAGTAAAACAGTATGTGAAATCACTCTGAAAACTAATAAGAGCTAGTTGTTTTCACTGTTATTTAACAATCACTTTTAATTTTGTGCATGTTATGAAATTCTCAAAAGTGTGGCCTTGGCCTGGGTCCTTTTCACTTGTGCTGCATACTTGAGGAGACTTCTCAATCTGGAGAATCTGGGTTTTTTTTTTTTTTTTAATTGTAGAAACGAGGCCTTGTCAAGTTGCCCAGGTTGGTCTCGAACCCGCAGGACTCAGGCAATCCACTCACCTTGGTCTCCCAAAGTGCTGGGATTACAGACTGTTCTTACTTTCTGTTTCTTTATATTTTGTTCTATTCTCAGATCACCTCACTTTTTATTCTAACCCTTCTATTAATTTGAGGAGAGGGTTGCCATCTTCATTTTTATTCCTAAAAGTTTTTCCTTTTTCTGTCATTGTTTCTATACTTAGAGTATCCCTGTTTGTATTTAGTAAAGGCAGTATCTTCGCTAAACTCCCTGAAGGTATTATATTTTAGTTGAATTTTCTTCTTGCATCGTTTGTTTATCTGGGGATAACTCATAGGAATGTTGGGAGGATTAAATGTACTAATACATCTAAAGTACTTAGAATTGTGCTATGTCAGGTATTTTTGTTTACCTCTCCAAATCTGTATCTACGTTGCTCCACCCTTCTACATGCCTGTGTGATCTCTATGTACTTCAACAATGGGCTCTCTCGCCTGAAGTTTCTGGTGTGATGTGGCAAAATGAAAATCCTTGAATAACAGTGAGAGGAACAAGATTGAATTGGAGCTTTCATCCCCCCAGCTCCCTCCTGAAGGACTGCCTTGGGCTGGCTCCATCTCTTATCAGGAAGTCACAGCTCCTCTCAAGGAGTCCTCTCTGAGCTCCCTTAACCTTTCCAGTCTAAGATGGTAACAACCCCACTGTCATTAGCCCCAGGATATTGTATTGTCCCTACACCCTGCCCACAGCTTTATATAAAATCTCTATAAAACCCATCTACTTTATTATTGTTTTTTCTTTATTTTAAAGATGTAGAGTACAATTCAGGGTTAGGTATACAAATGTTCATTGTGCAGGAACCCTTGTTGATGAGGTGTGCCCCTCCTTCCCCTGGCAGTTTCCCTCAACTGCCAATCGCACCCCCCCTCCCCTGGCAGCTTCCCACTACTGCTAATCCCTTTCTTACAGTATTATGATAATTGTTCAAGATCTGCTTATGAGTGAGAACAAAGGTACTCTGTTCTTTATTTCTGTGATAGATCACTGAGTATGATAGATTCTAAATCCATCCAAGTTGCTGCGAAGTCCATATGTTTGTCCTCCTTTATGGTTACATAATATTCCATTGTACCACATTTTTAAAATCCAGTCTAGCCGGGCTCGGTGACTCAGCCTGTAATCCCGTGTCTTGGGAGGCTGAGGTGAGTGGATTGCCTGAGCCCGCGGGTTCGAGACCCGCCTGGGCAGCGAGACCTCATCTCTACAATAAATCAAAAAAAAAATCAGCCGGGCATGGTAGCGCATGCCTGTAATTCCGGCTACTCGGAAGGCTGAGGCGGAAGGATCGCCGGAGCCCAGCAAGTCGAGGCTGCAGTGGCCGGGAGCGGCCACGGCACTCAAGTCTGGGCAACGGAGTGAGACCCCAACTCAAAAAAAAAAGAATCTTTATAAAATCCAGTCTAGCTTCGATGGGCAGTATGGTTGGTTCTATGTTTTCGCTATTACGAATAGAGCTGCAACAAACGCATGTGCAGGTGTCTTTTTGGTAGGATAACTTGAGTTCCTCTGGGTATATTCCCAATAGGGGGATTGCTGGGTCATTTGGCAGGTCAATTTCTAGTTCTTCCAGAAATCACCACACTGTCTTCCAAAGAGGTTACACTAGTTTGCATTCCCACCAGCAGTGTAGAAGTGTTCCTTTTTCTCCACATCCTCACCAGCATCTGTTGTTGTTTGTTTTATTAATGATGGCCATTCTTACTGGACTTAGGTGTCATGTCAGCGTGGTTTTGATTTGCATTTCTCTGATGATTAGTGAGGGTGAGCACTTTTTCATGTGTTTGTTGGTTGCCTGTATACCTTCTTTTGAGAAATGTTTGTTCATGTCTTTTGCCCACTTTTCTTTTCTTTTCTTTTCTTTGAAAGTGGGATTTATTGAGAGGACAGAAAAACTCCCACAGTGGGAGTTACCTTTGCCCACTTTTTAATGGGGTTGTTTTTTTCCTTTCAGTGCGTTTGAGTTCCTTGTAGATCCTAGATGTTAGGCCTTTGTCAGATATACAGTTGGCAATATTTTTTTCCCATTCTGTAGGCTGTCTCCCCACTCTCTTGATGGTTTCTTTTGCTTTGCAGAAGTTTGTCGGTTTGATGAGATCCCACTTGTCTATCTTATCTCTTATGATATGGGCACTCAGGGTTATGATCAGGAATTGGTTGCCAGTTCCAATTTCCATAGGGTGTCTCCTGCATTTTTTAAGATTCTTATAGTTTGAGGTTTTACATTTAGGTCTTTGATCCATTTAGAGTTAATTTTTGTGTATGGTGATAGGTAGGGGTCCTGTTTCAATCTTCTGCATGCGATCACCCAGTTTTCAGCAAGATTTACTGAATAGGTAGGTTCTCCTCTCCCCAGTGGTTGTTGTTGGAGGCTTTGTCAAAGATGAGTTGGTTAAGAAATTGAGGCTTTGCTTCCAGAATATCTATA